AGGGATCAGTAAGGTAAGGCTACTGTGACGGTTTGATTCAGAAGGAGTTTAATGTATAAGATCCCTGATGTTGAGGTGACCAGAATGTTTATTTCCACTGTGTACAACATGTTATAAGTGTCAAGCCCTTGGGTATTTTGCAGTTTCCCAGCTTGAAAGGGATGGTACAGTCCATAGGAGGTTTTCACTGGGTTTCACTCATACAATGACCACAACTTTGTTTTCTTTTGAGTTCTTCTTTACTTTATTTTTTGCAGTACAGCATATGTAGCAAGGTTGTAAGGTGAAAAAACCTTAAATGAAAAATAAAAATAATTACTGTAAATACAATGCACATTAAATAATAAATGCAAAAATACATGCTTTACATATATTTTTTACCACTTGTGAATATTGTTTTTCCTTTCTTAGTGTATTTTTATGAATTATGCTTTTAAACAGTTTTTAACTTATGCAGTCTCATTAAAAATGCAAATATAATAGACTGAATTTTTAGCAGCATTCAAACCGTTTTTATCTACATCTCTCAATAAACAAATCACATTCGTTTTTAACTTAACAATCATGCTGCTTTAGTTTGAGGACATCAAACAAACAAATGACACTGAACTAGAACGTACATTCTATACATTCTAACGTGCGCCACGTACGGCAAGTTGTAAACTCTTCTATAAACACACAGTTCGTCTCTCACCGGCTGCCTCTCCAGCTTTTTATGGCTGCACCAGTGCTGCTTCTTTGACGTTTCTTCTGCTGGTTCGTTGCTGCTGCTGGACGCACGCTCTTTAGTTTGTCCCTCTCCAGCTTTGATTACCGCTCTCCTTTCAGGTGCGGTGCTTTTAAAGGTGCAGCGACGCTGATTAGCAATTAGGGAATGATTACAGACAGCTGCCACTCTGTCAATCAGCCCAACTTTTTAACCCTTTGCTGTCCTGTGGATTCTCCAAGTTGACTTCACAATAAGGGACCCACAATCTATCTTTATGCAAGGGATAATTTGCAGCGGTGCGGTCTCTATGGGGAAAAGAACACCTGAATCTACATCCCTCTGCAGGTGGTACTTTAATTATATTTTGATGCTAATACTTTTCTACTTTTACATTTTGAATGCAAGACTTTTTATTGTAACCGAGTATTCCTACACTCTGGTACTTTTACTCAAGTACAAGATCTGAACATCTCCCACCTCTGACAATAAATCCTGAGTGGTTACAAAAAAAAAAACCCTGCTCTGAAGGTTATTTTAATTTTACAAATCATGCACTCAGCTTTGCTTTCTCCAATATCATTGAAATGCAGCCAAATGCTGCTTCTTTTTTCGATTTTTGCAAATTTCTTGATTTTTTTCCGACGCGCTTGCATTTAAATCCGTCTCCCTGTCGCTCTGTGTAGCTGGCCTGTACCACTACACCTGCTGTCTTTGGATCGTCTGCCCACCACCCTTCTTTCACATAATGGTATGATCCTAGTGCGTCCTCGCATATGATTGGCCGCATGGTGGCCAAGCTTAATAAAGACCCGCCCCTGCCTGCAAGGATTCTCAGCAAGAGTAGAAGCGGCTGGAGATTCTGCTCTCCCCGACGGGAGTCTGCTCTTCTAGCGGCATCTCGCGATCGGCGTGTTGGAGACCCCTGAATTAAATGATCAAGTCACCTCAAATCAGAACGAAAGTCCAAGTCAAGTCCCGAGTCATTGGTGTTCAACTCGAGTCGCAAGTGTTTTGTGATTTTGTCAAGTCGAGTCCAAAGTCATCAAATTGGTGACTCGAGTCCACACCTCTGCTATTTACTATTACCAACACAATATTATCTTCATATGGCAGATGGAACCAGAACAATGGTCATTTTGTGTGTGTATATCAATACAAGACAATACAATCGTGTTTTATTCACAAAATACTTCAAATCTATAATGGCAATAAAGAAACAAATCCATTTTCCAAAATGTCAGGCTTTGATTGAAGGCCACCACACACGGACCACTACCAATAGCTGGCATACTGTGTTAAATAATGTGAGATATGAACATAGAGCAGTGAGTACCTGAGAGGAAGCTGGTGTTGCCTCCATCTGAGTTCTGTTTGCGGAGACAGAAGGGGCTGTCGTGACTCTCAGGGATGCAGCGGCTGCGCTCGTGAAGAAGTTCGATCAACCGCCGTCGTCTACGGAAATTCATCCTGAACTGGAAGAGCAGGGGTCCATTGGCAAAGTGGTGTTTGTTGGTGACTAAAAGAAGAATAAATATGATTTGTTAAACATAAGTAAAGAGGAATAAAAACACGGGCATCTTTAGGTTAAAGTTATGAAGAAGGTAGAGATCAAAAGGATGAGGAAATTGATTATGACATTTCTAAAACTATAACATGAACCATTGTCAGATAAATGTCTTTCTATACTGTTTAGAGTCAGACTCTGGCTTCTTGCACCCAAGTCCGATTATTTTTACTAAAGGGCCCTTTTTTCCCCCACATGTCAACTTGGCTCCTCAAATGAACTGAGTGTAATCGAACCTGAAAATGTAAACTTGACAGAGCAGCACTTAACAAACTGTACGCTGGCCTGAGATCACCTGAGCTGATGAACAAACATGAAATGACCTCAGAGAGCTTCAACCTCATTTACCTCAGCTGGAGGCAGAGTACACTTTAAAATAAATCAATATGGACCTGACAAAATCACATGAAACTGTCAATTGAATGTTAATGTGCAAGCCCAGGATTTATTTGAGTGAAGTTATTCAATATATATTACAAAAAATAAAGTTTGGTGAACACTGAAGAGAAAAGGTTAAGTCTTACAGGATGAAGCACATATGAATAGTCTTGACTCAAGAGTTGCTTAATCTTTGTTTTTTCAAATGAATACCCCACATTTTATCTAACTATTTATAGCTTTGTTTGTTCATGATTTTGGAAAGGAGTTCAAAACTATTAAAAATATATTATTTATTAAAAATAAAGGGATGACGATGAAGCACCTAGCAACATACATCTGTAACCTGCTCAGAAATTGAAGCCTAATATTCTGTGTTCAATAAGTAAGCCTGTATTCCTTAAGCCTGCTCACTGCCGCAGACTGACTTATTTTCATCAAAGGCTACGCTGTAACGTCATATCATGATGAGTCATCAGGCCCATTCATATCACCCCCCCACCCAAATAAAACCACTTGGGTAATATAGTGCTCATTAATCTGAGCCTGTCCACCATAGCAGCAGATATTCTATTCCAACAAAATTGAATATGTATTGCAATTACACATTTCAACATCAGTTACTGTATGCCTAACACCTTTAACCTACTCGCACAGCAGCTATATTTAAGACATTGGAACACTGACTCAACGGGAAACCTAGGTAGTTAAATGGTCAGTTGGATTATTGCGTTGCATTTAACAGTTTGGTTTCCTTAAAAATAAATAATGATATAGCCTGTTAGACCTGACCTTTGGATTTGGGTATGAACCCAAATTCTCCGCATGCAACATGGGGTTCTATTGTATTTCTGCTGTGTAGCTATTTAGTTATCGTTTGATTCATTGGGCATGTGGTTAGTTCACGTGTCCTTTGCAAGGCTAACAAATTCCTTTCATCGTATGCAACAAAAGAAAAACATAGTATACATAGTATAGTGTAAAAAAAACAGTGACCATATTGTCCCATGGTAAACAATGAGCACAATGCGGAACCATCCAGACTTTCCTTCTTCATAATATACGTCTGAATGTGGTAGCATGACCTCTGCACAGTAACGCAGATAACACAGTTATCCTACACCAACATGTTTATAATGTGTTACTAATGGGAGCTGAAGGCCTGTAAACAAATGATCAATAACACTTTATTACTTTAAATCACTCTCCCTAATGTAACTAAAGGGTTTGGGATGATATGAACAGTGCAAAGTCTGCATATCACGCAGCAGTGGAGCATTTGTTTTCCACAGGGAGGATGACACTATGAGGTCTGTATTACATAAACTAAGTGAAGTGGGAGCGCTATTTTCATGATTTATTATTCCTTATGGACAAACAGTCTCTCATCCACATTACATTTGTTCTGCATGCTGTGTTTAAGGCTCTCTTGTTTTTAATACGTTTAATAAGTTGTTTGTAATATGATTTATTTTATCCTGTATTTATTCTTTAAAATGCTGCATGGTAGATTTCAGAATAAGAATGGTGAAATCTACATAACGGTTTGAGTTCAAATGGAAAAAACTAAACCCTCTAGCAGTGAGGACATCTGCCTCCTCTGCAGTAATACACACTAATTAAATCAGACCTGGTATAAACTACAGACATCAGCGTCAAATCAGATTTCCTGTCATGCGGTAACCCGACGGAAACTCATTCAGGATTCACGTTCAATGTTTAAAAATGTTGTAAATATAAAACTGTAGTTGTCTGACTGTAAGAGGAGAGAATGACGACCAACCAAGGAAGTGGTAAAGGACATAAAAAGAGAAGGAAACGTATAGTCTGATTATAAAATATGATTAAGTATGAGATTATAGGACATGTTAAAACATAACTGTATATACAGTTGATAAAATGAGTTCCACTTCAACCAGCCTCAGTACACTAAATACTGTTTTTGAATGAAGGAGTATTTTCATTTAGTGGTACAAAGTACTTTTTCTTACACAACTAAGACTCTAAGCCTAACCGATCACATATTTCAAGTGCATATATATATACATATATATATATACACACACACACACATACAGATAACATGATAGTAGAACTTGTTGACCTTGTGATACCTGTGACATTCAGGTCACATTTTGCTGGTGTTTATTTCTCTGTAACATTCAGTACCTCTTGAACTGAGCCATGTCAAGTCAGGTCAGGAAAATGAGACACAGAGAATCAAGACGAGTGAAATACAACCCAGCCGGCGTGAGACATTATGAGGGTCAGTTCAGAACGACTGGGAGCCCAACATGAACTTTAACAAGTTTTAGGGGTGGACGAGAACGAGAGCTATTTTAAAATAGTTTCAGGTTGCAGGGCTAGAAGTATTTCTAAAATGTATTTTTTTTATAAAGGGTGCCACTGTAATCTATCTAGGCATATCTTTGATGCTAAAGTGGCCAGCTAAGTGTTCTCTGTGTTGAAAACATTGACTTTTCATAATCAAAATGGTGTCTTTAGGTGTGCAAATAGGGAATGTAATCACACTGTAGGTCTACAACAGTTATCGGATTGCATGATTGCAAAGGAGCAAATAGTCAGGCCAGTAGGGTCAGTTGATATTATGTACTAGCTGAGCTCTTTGAAAGGATCATGTGATTAAAGCAGGGGAATAACTTTCACCAAGTGTCAAGCACAGATAATCAATCTGTCTATAGCGTCTGCCGCCCAGCTGAAGCAGAAGAAGCAAGTAATAAAATGCGCTTGAGATTATATTTCCTACATTTGATCACAATTATTTATAACCTTATTTGTACTAGCATTGAAATGTTTAATTTTGGCTGAAATGTGAATTTGTTCTCATAATATATTTAGTTTTTAGGCAGATGGGACTTTTGTTATTCTTATATTTGTTTATATTTTGCGACCAAACATTAGTGCTGCTGTGTACCCAAAGACTGATTCAAAAAATTATTATATCGCATAAAAAAAAAGTAGAATCAAGTATTACAGATTTCATTTCAAATTCAATATCAAAGATAGACATTTTCATAAGTAACAATATTGATAAAAACAATGTTAGCATTTCACATCATTTAGCATTCAATTGTACTAACTTTGACTTTTGATAAAAGTGTCAAAGGTATCAGACTTTAGACCAGAGTACATTCTGTTGCATTTTTATTTATCATACTAAATAAAGTGTTTGGAACCAAAGGATTCATTGAGTGATGCAGGTGTTGCCTGATACTGTAGGTTTTTTCAAATAAAAAACAACAGTTGAGCGTCTTCCTCACCGTGCTGGATGATGCCATGTTCCAGGAGCCTGCGCCCCAGCTGCTCCGCCTCCTCCCTGGCCGCCATCTCGCCCTCCTGCAGCAGCCAGTCAATGAACTCAGAGCCCACCAGCGCTCGCTCATACGTGCCGCCCTCTTCCTCCCTGGTTTGTAACAAGGTGTTTTCTGTGTTCATCAACCTGTGGAGAGAAGACGAGAGCACATTTCTGTTACTATAATTGGTTCAGAAGTCAGAGAGTGGGACTGAGTAGAGTGTTGCATTCAAAATAAAATGTTATCAATACACTGAGGATATATTAAACGAACCACTCGCCCCACTGATGGTGGTTTAAAGTTTAGCTTTGTGGGAACTGTGAAAAGTTCACACTCAGCTATTTGAATCCACTTAGGATCCAAGTGCAGTATTGTTGTCTCTTTCAGGCAAATATGTTATAATAACACTACATTTGGGGCCCTAGCTGAGGTCTCCAAAGCAACAGATTGCAGGACATGTACTTCACTCGTTTTAGTTGTAGATATTCATCTGAAGAAACAAAATGTGAGTTGTCAGAATGCTTCACATTGTTAACAGATATATTCGAGATACTTGAGGAAAGTAATTAATTTTTAAAAAAAGGGGAATTTTCCAGCAGTGAAAGCCCTCCAAACCAGCAGCTTTTCTCATTTCTCCACTCTGTAATTTGTCTGGTCAAAGAGCACAAAGACTGCGCTGTAACTGTGGCCGGTTAAGCGCTTCAGCCACATATGTGAATTTTAAAACTAAATTCATGTTATTTCTTGAAGCCTTGTACACGAAAACTATGAATCAACAAACAAAACCAGTCATGTACACACATGCCAGGGACATAATCACACCCCAACACCCTAACACCAAGACCTGAACGACTCCCACAGAATAAACCTGCCAGGCAGCGGTTATAAGAGATGATAAGCTCTCTGTGATACACCTGTACATGTCATAACATGTGCTACCAACGAAATGTACCATCAAATAGACAGAGATACTAAACATGTCGCCTCGTTGTTGGCTGTGTTTGGCTGCTGGCACAAATACATTCCCACAGTCTGTTTAAACAGCTGTCATTCACTAAACTGGCATTACAACACACCAAACTGTTCAATACAGACAGGTAGATGTCAATTGAAAGATTTGTAATAATACTCAGAACATTTAATGTACTTAAATGATTGAAAACATAAAGTTATCCTTTTGCCAAGGGATTCAGGTTCCATAAAAGAAACAGTGCTGCCTGCCTAGTTTTCAGAGAATAGATCATCTCTAAATCTGTATTAGTTAACCGTGGTTGTGACTTTTAGCAAAACAGATAAGCTAGTCAGTAAAGAGATTCAATATATACAAAATTCATAGATGGAGGGTTAAAGGAAATGTAAGACATGCTTATCATACGTGGAAGACTCTGTTAATCAGCCCCTGTTTCAAGTTGTTATACTAAACTAACCTGCTTTGGAACTGGCTTCTTATTTACCGTACAGGCACAAGAGGTAATCTTCTCATCAAACTTACGGCAGGAAAACAACTACGCTTATTTTTGTTTGGCATGGACAAGCCATCAGCTCTATTGTTTATACATTTCCTGGGATGCCAAACATTAATGGCAAAACCTCCAGAGACCAGGACAACAATTTGCACTTTAATGAAGCTGAATGAGGATCCTGATATGTGAAATTGAACTAAATGAATGCAAAATGAAGTGCACCAGCTTGTACAAATTTAGTTTTTTCTGCCATCCTCTAAGAGTGGTTAGTTCAGCAACAACTGATGATCCAAAGCAGTAGGCCTTAAACCAAGGTAAGATAACATCTTCAATAAACATGGTCCCATGGTGACACTATATTCCTCAAAGTTCACCTCCGGGTTGAGGTAAAAAATAGACCTGCAGTTTAAATGAATCTAAGAAAAATGGTTTGAGTTGCACACAAAGGAATGCTTTAGTCCTTCACTCATGTAAAGTAAAGATGTTGTTAAGATGTCAAGATATGAAAGATGAGGAGCTTTGTTGGAAAACAGCCCAGATTATCAGGCAACATCATCATTTAAATGTTGAAAGAAGTGGACATAATGTTCCATGAGACGTGCCTGAGCACACAATAACCTTTAATCCATTTACACATGGTAAGTCAACAGATCATGATGTGTTTGCTTAAAGGGATTGTCTCAAAGTCCGGTACTTAAAAAGTAAACACCGTGCTTGGGGTAATAGCATCTTGGGTGTATGCAGTATACTATGCAAATCATGACACTGTTCATATAAAATGTATCCTGATGACTTAAGGTGGGAAGATGGCTGTACACTGCCCTGACTTGGATATGCACTCAGCGTAGTTGCTCAGTCAGCATACCTAACTCAGCTGGAGTGATGCACACTGAGAAGAAGTTGTAGGACCACCACTGACTGCACTCAGATCCGGTGTTGCATGGTGTTTGGGCAGTGGGAACTGATAGCCATGCCACTACTTTTAGAAATACAAATATGACTTTAGGAGTCATTTAAGGGACATGTGAAGGCACTATAAAGTAAATCATAGGGTCACAGGCCAGCAAAAGTTTTAGGGAAAGTCATTCAAAATAAAAATAAAAACATTAGATTGTAAAAACACCAGAGCAAAAATCGTCTGAACCAGAGGTTGATATACAGTAACCAGTACATGTTTTTTCTCTTAACTTTAATTATTAAACACTGAACCTGAGTCATTTCTATATATAGATTATTTCTACAGTTAGTACAACTGTAGTGGAGGAAACCAATTGTGTCTGCCTTTTTTTAAATCAATGAAGTGTTTCGCATGTGTTTAACAGGAGAGGCCTCGCAGCTCAGTATTATTGAGCATTGCTACCAAAGATGCCCTTTAACAAAAAATGACACATTTAAAGCTGCAGCAGTATGACATGTATACACGTGTTCATGAGCTTGTTAAGTGAGTTACTGCAAGTTTTTCTGATACACAAACAGTAAAGCACAACATGACCATGAATTCACTTTCTCATGTAATAAATGTTATGTTTGTACAGCTCTTAATCTCGCTCACAACCTCTAAAAGTTCTGACAGCGACCTCATGGAACAGCAAATACCCGATAACATTACTTAAAGTACTTAACAGGAATTTCCGCACAGATTAGAATTACTTTAAGACAATCTAGTCTAGTTAAAACATTGTTGAAATGCCTTTATGGTAAACCTTCCTTAAATAACCCTGTATGTTGGACCGGATTTCCTGTAATAATCAAAGACATCCCACCAGTTATCATTAAGCCATGGGGAAAGGTCAGGATCTTTTCTTAAGTGAAGACAGCAATTGATTTAATGAACCACTAGACATCAGTTGTAACTCTGGATCTTTACAAATAAAATGTTGTGTTGCTCAGTCTTGGTTTAGAAGAAAGTACTTTGTGTATACGACAGCATGTGACAGATTTCTGCAATGCAGAAGATGGTCACCAATAATGTTAATTGTGCAAAATTCAATTTGCAGTTAATGGGCGAAAACATACAAAATGGTCCAGAAAGGAATGTGGTGCCTAGGCAATGACAGACCAAACAGAGACATTTTCTAGCCTTGTAAAGACACATGGAACTGATACATGTCTGTCTCTTTCACTCTCTCACAATCTCTGTCTAGAAAATGTGGATGCACAGACATAAAATAAACAGGTGCAGATGACAAGAGCTAAGTATTGGGCTAAGGAGTTGAATATATATGTATATACACATATATATAATTTAAAGATATTATACTTTAACGATTTATCATTCATGTTCCAGAACAAGTTTTGTAATAGTCAGAAGATTAGGAGTCAAATGTTTTTGATCAAAAGAGAAAATGGACCACTTATTGGATGGTTTGAATCAAAGTTACAAAACTGTCTAATAAAAATGTATGTGAAAACAAAACACAAAATATCACTATAAGCACATTTACGCTAAGGTACATTAACAAAGAAAACAGAGAGCATTTTCAATGCTTTTCTTCAAACTGTATGACTGATTAACAAGAAAGTTGTTTTTGGTAAGCACACAAGTGGTGCTTTTTTATGATTCTTTATGGAAAAACTCAGTTTTACAGATTGGGCAATAAAATCAACTTATGCTCTTTAACAATAAACTGACAGCAAATGCCCCAGTGAGGTAAACAGAAAACATTCTGGTATGTGAAGCATTGTGTAAGCATGGAGCAGGCCATTCATGCTCAGCAAATCTACCACATCAATATACCCTAAATAAATATAAATCTCTATTCAACCAAAATAAAGGTTACATTCAAGTAAAGATTGTTTTGTTTCATTTGACAGTTCAATATGACACACACACACACACACACACACACACACACACACACACACACACACACACACACACACACACACACACACACACACACACACACCTCTGACTAACACTATTGTTTTCACCACAGAAATGTCGTTGAATAC